ACTTGTTACAGGGGCCGCATACGTTGTATCCTCATCAGGTGTAAGCTGTATAGCATCTAAACTGTTTTTTGGGACTTTAGTATCACCAAGATACAAGACTGCCCTCAGTATTTTCAAGGTCTGGAAACAAAGTTCATCTGATCAGTCTTTCTTATTTGTCTTATTCAAATGTATAGCATTAAAACTGTTCTGCTGGAGTTCTTACGAATATTTGGTTACAGATTTATGGTAATGTGATTGAATTATGATTTTTATTGTCTTAGCCAGACCCTGGTGTAATCACACTTTCCTCGTTCTTAAGGATGTATTTGCTGACTTCCAAATGGACATCTTAACACAGAGTTTACACTGGCAGCTGTACACTTATCATAGTTATGATACCTATCTTTGATAATTCTTCCTTGGTGCTATTTTCTCCTCTTCAAATTGTTCATTTTGATCGTGAATGGTATTAGGTTCCCCTGTCAGGGAACAAATTGTATTTTGAGCCAATTTACTAAAATAGTCACTGCTAAGTGCTATATCTGGCCAAAGTTGACACCTTTGACATTTTCTAAAATGGCAAAAATAACTGTATTTAAGGATTGATTTATGAGTACTGTATGTCAAAAGAATTTCTATATTATTACAGTTTCTGATGTAGCCATCCTAACTCCTTCGGTGAACAAATTGCTGATAGGGCAACTAATTAATGCTTTATTAGTTTTTTGTGGTCAATTATAACAAGTTATAAAAAAGCAAAATGCAATTTAATTATGCAGAACGGTGTGATTCTTGTTTCTTTCTCTGAACTGCTTTGTTTTGTGCCTGTGGAAGAAACAATTTTTACATAGCTCCATTTTTATAAGATACATTTCCCCCCACTAACTATGAGCAACCCCTATGATTAAAAAGTAGACTGGAGTCTTTAGATGTCTTTCTGATTGCTGGCCTCTATTAAAAACTTCTTAAAATAATAGATAGGTTTAATTCCTCAAGCCAAAGAAAAATTATATCATCTTAAGTATTTTCCATATTTATTATATTGATGAGACTTGGCTGCAGAGAAAAAAAAGGAAGCAAAATCTCTTGTATTGCAAGTTTTAAATGTACCAGGCTAAGGTTTACTTAATTAGAACCTCCAGGCAATAAAGGAGCCCTTTTTTAAATTCTGTGAATCTTAATATGCTAAATAATGCAAAGCTTCAACTCTTCAAGCATGAGACACACATCTGGCAGCTTAACATTTAAATTACAGGAAAAAAAACACTTCAGTAGTAATTTTCATGAAGAAAAGAATGGGAAATGTATTACAACTAAATTTAATTTCTTTTTAGATTTTTCATCCTGTCTAATTGCAAGCACTTGCCATCTTCTTTATTTATTTATTTTCATGCAGATTTTTTCTGCACTTTTTATTGATCTTTAATTTGAGCAGCTTCTTACTGCTACAGCCATTGAAGAATTACATTGTGTTTTTACTTAGCAAAAATTGTTCGGAGAAATCTATGAGGAATTAAAGTAATGAGCTCACTGGTATAGAAGAAGAAGAGCCCTACAAATAAAATCTAAAAAGAGCATGTCCTGATTAAATAGCAAACTTGGGTCCATTCTCCCTCCCATTTCTTAAATTTAGAATATTATTACTTTCTTTATTCTTTATATTATGATTTTTTTTGGCTAAGGTCATTACTGCTTTGCTTATTTGTCTCTGAAAAAATTATCATTTTTGACTCATTTCGGTGAGTCAAAAAAAAAAGTTCCACAACAAAGAAAACCGCAGTGACCATGTTTTCAAAGGTATAGTTATATTTTAATGTGTTTGTGGGTTCATATGTGTAATCATATGTGCAGGATATGTGCAGAAACTTAAAATATTTATACTGTATATGTGCACACATGTGACAGATACCTAGTAGCTGTACTTTAGTTTCATTGATTTCAGTAGATCTGTCCTTCACCCCAGATGATAATGCACCTATAAATATCTTTGTTATGAATTCTTAGCATATACCTATGTGTGTATATACAGAGAGCAAGAGAGGGAGAAAAAGAGACACATACAGAAGCACACTCAGACTCAAAGATGTGACACGGTGCGTGTGTATATTGTATATCTACAGCTATACTACCTAAGAGCAGATCTTATCTATATTCCGTTTTTAAGTACACTTGACCGTATTTTATTGAGGGGAAGTAGAGGTAACTGGAAAAAATAGTGAAAATATTGATTAAGTATATTTTTGGCTTATCCTCCCTGTGCTATATGTTAAGAATTGTATTGCAGACCTTTATTTCTTTTCACCACTGCTTTCTGTGATGTGGAAATACGTTTTTGTTCACACTGCAGGTCACTGCTTTACAAAAGCCCGACAGGCACACTGCTTGAGCAACTGTTGCATAGGAAATGTGAGCGCTTTTCATCTCCTTGCCTCATTTGGTGGCATTCTCACACCGTCATCGTGCCTATACAGCAAATGAACTTCATTCGCTTTTCTAAAGAACACATTCTATGGTGTTTAAAATGTTTTCCACTGTTGTTCTTTTCTGCTTATGTCTGTTATTTCTGTTTTTTTCCCATGGTATCTATACAGTTGTCATTTCCATCACCACAGTATCTGAAGTCTTCACTGCATTTATCAAGCTAACACTGTGGAAGTTAGGGAAGAACCATCAGCCTATTTATATCTGGCACAGAAAAATATGACCTGCCTGGAGTCATACAGGATCTTAGTGGAACAGGGAAAATAAACACCTCCTTTCATTTCAGAGCTTTGTCTCATGTACCAATACAAAAATATGTTTTATCTTGCAGAAGATGGTTTTTGTCAGGACTGCTGTGGCAGCGCAGATAACCACTGTGATTTGTTTCCACTGAAAGAAGAATGTCGAATGCATCAAAAGGTAATGATGATGCTCTGAACGTCACAGTCTCTCTCAAAGTGCATAGTGAAGTCATTGGAGCCTCTACCTGGGCCATTTAGGAAATAATTTGTCGGCTTTGTTGTTGTTGTTGTTGGGTTTCTTTAAACTACCGCTGTGATTTTGATTATAGCAACCATAAGGTTTCAAATGGCCAGCAGAATTGCTATCTCCCATACAACTCTCAACAGAGAGTTGATCTCTCTCAGCAAGAGATTATCCAAACGTTAGCAAGAAAGATTGTCCAATAATCAGACAATAGCAGCTCAATCAAGGCTGCACTATATGAAAATATTTCAGAAATTTTTAAGCACAAGATACATTTCCTAAGTATTCGTAACCTTCAAGCCCTCATTTCCTTGTGCAGAAGAAGCCTACCATCAGGTCCTTCTGGTATTCTTATTCCTAGTAGTTTGGTCAAGGATGTAATCAATTTGTGAACAAACATTTTGTCATCAGTACAAGCTACCATGAAACACATCTGCATCATGACAATACTTTCTGGTCGAAATACACCATTGGAACTTTCCCCTTTAATATCAATCCAGAGAAAGAAGACCCAAAGAAGTTGTGTTCCTGAGCTTTTGTCCGTTTCTGCTACTTATGTTATCTGGTCCAGATTAGATATTTTCTAATCGAAGATGCCATCTCTCCCTGTAATCGTTGCTCCACTTCTCTCCTTAGAGCAGCATGGCTGCAGTGTACTATGACTGCCAATGTGAATATTCAAACGAGCAGTTCAGAAAATTTGTCTCGCCTGTCCTACATTTAGTTTGAAACATTTTTTATGCTTTTAATTGTCCATGAGGGGGGAAAAAAAAGATGTACTCGCAAACTTGCACGCGGTATGTGTATACCTATATATATGTACTGTGGCACAAATCTACAGTAGCTGGAAATTGTCATAGTTACCTTAACTCTAGGGGAGTAATGTCTTTTCGTAACAAGTAATGATCTACCTGTAAATATCCATGAGCAAAAACAGATCCCAGAACGGGACGTTCCTTCCATTTTCAAATGACTAAGTTTTCAAGTGACTTATTTCTTTAGGGAGGCAAGGAAAACCTGGGGAAACCAGAACTCTATGCAAACATAACTGCAGATGGGTGTGTGTGTATGTGTAGCCTTATACCTGTAGGAAGACCAATTTAAGGGCTGATGGAGTAGGTGCAATGGGCAAAGCAACCCAACCCTTGGGAGTGGCATAATGAAATTCATTTCCTACAATCCCATAATAGTGGATTGCCTTTGAACAAAATACCATGCTCTTATAGGAACCTCAGTTGTGGCTGGGTTTCAAAGCCACATTAAAGTGACCCGGTTTCAGCAAGGTACGTAAGCCCATGGGTAATTCAGTACTGTCTAGTCCCTTTGGACTCAGTGAAATGACTCACAAGCTTACGGTTATTGACGTGTTTAAATAGATTTCTGAATTGAGCCTTGTATGAGAATACTCCTGCACAAAAGAAATCTGAGCATGTGAAATCTCCTTTCAAAGTCTGTAAGAGCCCCTCTTTTTTTTTTTTCAGATGGGATGATTGAACTGTAATATTCAGAGAGATCCTCAGTTTAGCATGTGCAAGATTTAGACGCTTTTCTCAATCATGTCATTTGGGCCCACTTGTAACTCTGATAGTGAAATCGTCTTCTAAAATAATTCCACTTAACTGTTTTTTTAGGAAACAATGAGGAGCTAATGTAAAAACAGACTTAAGGTGAAGACAGAAATTCATGTAGTGGACTATTCCCCCAGCTGTTTCTTTTCTTTTTGTAAATAGGTAGTCTGTCCCTCGTGTTGTTGCCCGCCCCCCCAAAACAAACTCTGAGTGCCAAACCTTTCCTTTTGAGGGAAAATATGGAAGAATACATCAGTAAAAGCAAAGGTTTTCTTGCTGTGTCTCTTCTGCTCCACAAGCCATCTGAACTACAGAGTTACCTATGGTCTCCCACTGGGTATCTTCTGAATGACAGGAATTAGTGACATGGTTTTGGTGCAGTAAGCCTGCATATAGTTGCACATATTGAAGATATGAAGTAGCAGCTATGAAAGACAAAATATTCCTGCTTAGTAATATCTGTGAGAAGTAAAATATATTCTGTGGCCATAATCCCACCCTCATGTTGCTGAGCGAGCTTCTGGTTTCATACTCCAGGCAGGATCTAACATTATCTCAGAGCAATTCACTCATAATGCTTTTATATTGCCTTTGGGATTTATGTCTTAAATAATGTATTTTATATGTACTTTGCACAGGGACTACCTTCCTGGAGACCATGTTAGTGCAAGCAAGCTACTTTGCACATACTACTTGCTAAGAAACCTTGACTTTTTCTAGGGAATTAAGTCAGGCAATCATGTGGCTGGGTGAAGTGCAATGCTATCTGTAGTTGCCTGGTGTTAATATTTAAAAACAGCTTTGAACATGCTTCTGCTTCTACTCTACCTTAACTATTCATTTTTACATAGAATCACCTTTTGACAATATATTCCATTGCTTGTGGCAGCTTTTCAAATGACCACTGAAAATATGATGATTGTATCATGTTTACTGATAACCATGTTTAGCATTATGTTGGTATGGATATGAGCCTCTATCTGTTATGTCCATGAGCCTTAAATTAAAATTCAAAATGTAGCTGCAGTCTGTGCAATCCAAGCTTGAGAATACAAATTCGACTTTTAGAGCAAAAGGATTTATTGAGTAAAAATAATATTTGTATTTTTCACAATTAGCAAAGTATTTAGTGATATGACTACATCTAATGCTAAAGCTGTATTCCAGGGAAACTCTTTGAGGTTGTTGAGATTTATAGAGTAAACTGGGATATTTAGTTCATTACCGTTTTCATAAATGCCAAGGTCAGAAAAGACTGTAAATCATTTAGGTTGACTTCTAGTATAGGCTAGAAATTTTCAACTACTTACTCGGTAAGACCAACAACGTGTTTATCTGAGCTCCTTTGGTTTCCAGAGATTTGTCTAGTCTTGACCTTGAAGGCATCAAGGGATGGAGAACGAAAACTTCCCTTTGTGGTTACTTCTAAACAGTGTGCTCCGTCTATCCCCATTTATGAGATGGAAAAAGAAAACGGAGTCCTGTTTCCAGTTTGAACATAAGTGGTTTTAACTTCCTTCCCTTTATTCTGGCCTGGCTTTTTCACTAAACATTAACAAACCCTTTATGGAGCTTGTTATTGTGCCTAGGAAGATATGAATATATAGCCTCATTAAGTCAACTGTGGATCTCTGTTTGGTAAGTTACGACCTCCTTGTGTCTGTTGGTGGAAGTGATGTTTTGCTGGCTGATGCAGGAGCAATTAATGCAGAGCATGCAAGGAACTGTCTTGTCACTCCAGGGAGAGATGACAGCAGAGCCAAATCCCGCCCAGTGCATGTGAGATTATTATTCGAGAGATGAACGTAGTTTAGCATTCTCTACTTTGTAGTTTGATTAGTTGTTCAAACCAGTGTAAGCTGGCACCGGCACTGACAGATGCAGTACCATCCCATCTCCTCCCTCGTGCTGGCTCCCTTTGTGCACGGTGGCTTGGATCAGAATGGGTCCAGCTGAGAGCTAACCCAGTTAAAAAAAGGAGAAGAAAGGAAAGAGGCCAAATAGCATTAATTTCCTTCCCAGATCAATTCCCCCCATATGCTTCATTATGTGGATGCCCAAATTCTTGTGCTGGCAGAGCGGGGTGGGCAACACGGGCAAAAATGAGCAGGTAGAGGAAGGTGGATGCCTTCTTCAGGTAGCAATGTGAGTGTACACCTGCATAAGAGGGCTAGTCAAAGCACAGCCTTACAGGAACATGAATCAGTTCACTGAACAGTACTCTTTAAGTGTATTGAGCCAGGTTTGCCATGGTTGTATCCCAGGTTTGTTATGGACGGAGGGGTAGAACAGAGCTGGAAGTTCAGTCTAGGATGAAACTGGCAGCTCTTACTTTGCTAGCTGTACCCCGTTAATGAGCTTATTATTCTAATTCCTTTTTTTTTTTTCATTTAAAGATCAACTGGAATAACCCACCTGAACAATATTATCAAGAGAAATCAGGTCCTGTGAACAATGCAAGTACAGAAAAAGGCGAAGCATCTTCAGAGAACAATTTTTATTTGGAGGAGTTAGAGGAATACACTTTTTCTGTGTGGTAAGTAATCTTAGCATCAAATAGCTTTGCATCGCAAAAGTAAGCATTGATATACTTTTAGAGGCATTTACATTTAGATGAATGTTATTAGTGCTACAAAATCCAACATATAAAGGCTGATGATTACCTAAGCAATTTCAGTTTGTCCCCTTTGTGCATGTGTGTTATGATTATGAGGTCATATGCTGTTTTTCATGGAGGTCATCTTTCTGTTTAGGTAGTGCTTATTTGTGTAAATATGAAGTGTTTTGTTTTTGCTTTTTGTTCACTGTGGCCCCTGGCCTTATTTACAGCATGCAAGCCCTGCCTGGAATATAGAATTATTGATTTTCTCATGTATTCCTTCCCAATAGAGCTTTACAAGTGTAAATTAATTTATCTTCACAGAATCATTAGGAGGTAAGGAAGGGGCGTTGTTTACACTTTACAGATAGGGAAATGAGATAAAATATTTCTGCCATTTATAAGCATATGAAGACCTTGGGTTTTTTTACTCCTTACTATTATTTATGAGTAGAGTTGGTCAGAAAAAAATTGGAACCATCTTATGTCTGGGAATGCAATTCTGACATTGTTGCATTGCTTTGAGAAGCTGTTTCAGTTTTGTCAAAGTATTTTTTGGAGAATAAATGAAACAGTATTCCTAACAAAATCCCATTGCAACATTTTAAGAGCTGCCCAGTCCATTTTTTGGATGTTGCTTTCAATATTATTATGTATTTCTATTACAAGATACATACATGATATAGGACATAAAATGATAAACAAAAATGAAATTAAGAAGATTATGTCAAAATTAAATCTTTCCATTTACTTAATTATTTTTCCTGGAATTTCACCTCCTAGGTCATTTCAAATTTTGACAGTTATTTATAATTAGCAGGAAAAAAAAGACAACTAAATTCTTCATGAAATAAAATGCCAGTCCTTCACATACCTCTGTATTTTGTTTTGAATATTTGAAAGACAGACCTAATCTACTTCCCTGGTGCTTATAATCTTCCACAAATCAGTCCCTAGAGTTTCAAATAAAGCACCCAGAAACTGAGAGTCAAAATAGAGTGGTTTCCTGCGTAAACATTTAAAGACAGGATTATCTAATCAGGCAGTCCAAGGAGCCTTCCACATCACTGGTCATGAGAATAGCCTATCTTTTCCTGCTCCCTCTTGCCTCATTCACTTGGTGCCTGTAAAATTTTGGAGAAAGTTAGGTAAAGACTCTG